ACATTGGTATTCGAGTAATGATCAAACTTATACGAAGTTATGAAAATTGCATCGCCTGTGGCGACTACTGTACACAGCTCCCCTTTTCAAGTCATCTCTTTCTGCGAATTCTTTGTTAGTTCCTGTGAGCATGTTAACTTACTGTTGTTAACTACGTCACATCGCTGTTCAAACCGACTGGAGCTTAAAAAATATAACTGTGAATATTGTTTTGGTGACACGTATCTGACGATTGTCTTACAGCACAGTTATCACTAGATTTGTTATGAGTCGAACTTTATGTTTCGTGTTTACCGAATTCGTGTATAGTTCCGCAATGGGAGGAGGGACTTCTCTGTGTTCCAAGCACCTTCAGGCATATTTATCTATTGCTTGCCTGACCTGCAGTCGGTATCCAGAACCGAAGGTCTCATGAGCGAGAAGTGTTTTTGCAGGGACCAAAACGCTACAGCCGTGCCTGTCGCCTAACGGTTTTTCATTGATCACACGCCTACACACCCGCAAGTTTATAATGGTCTTCCCTCCCTTACTACGTAACTCACATCTCTCTCTCTCTGAAGTTTGGAAAACCTATCTTACTTTATGGCAGTTCCGCTTGACTGCGCGTTATGTCCATAAAACAAGTCCACGAAAAATTCTGGCAATGGCTCAGATAAACTGCGTGAAAGGTGTCTCAGCTAAATAGCGCATTTATTGATTCATCTCAGGAATACTCGGTGACATTTGACAAAGTCATAACCTGTCACTTCCATTATCATTCGACTATAGTCATTATGTGCAACGAAGCACACCAGCCGACCATTTACTGTGAACTGCATTGAGCGATTTGACTTTTGAAAAGTTCATAATTATCGTGAGCTGAAAGGCAATAAATTCTGATTGAAAGCTCTTAATATCCTTCACATAGAAAATACTATTTTCTGTATGGACTGAACAGTATGTGGCGCTGATCCCGAATTCAGGACGTGTCTAAATCACTAACACTAAAAAGCTAATTTTAGTGCGCATAATCACAAGAAAATTAGTTGAATTTCAATTGTTAAAATTTCCAGTCACGCTATTGAGTTCCAATTTAACTTAATATATGCAATTAGCTCCCTACCTGTGCCTTTAAAAGGGCGAAAGCATGCATAAAATAATTTACTATAAGCATTATTTTGAATTTTTCGTATTTTTTAAATCTGAACATTCATTTACGGTAATAGTTTCTTCTGTTTTTAAAAGCCTGCACTTTCGAGGATTATTAAAATTCTCCCAAAATGAGTAAAAAGTTTTAATATTCGTATGAGTAGTGATGCGTCCCACGTGGTGTGCAAAGTGACACCTACCCAAGCAGTACTTTATATACAACGGGATGCATTGTAATGGCGAATAAAAGAGGAATTTCAGTTTCTTTTGGTATAAATATACAGTGTATAGTTTGAAAAACGTACGAAGTACTAAAACCTTTAAAAACGTGCAAGAAATATGAACGTACAATATGGCGAGTGCTACATGCAAAATGCCTAAGTTTGTAAAAGTCTGATCATTATTCGCATACCGGCGTGAACGCATTTACGAAGACTTGGAAATAATAATGAACAGCATAAGGCATATTAAGTACTTAAAGGAAGCATAAGAAGTACTTAGCTTTTGCTAAGAAAAATAAAATTTTCTCGATAATTACCAAGTTCCGGAGACGTAAAAAATAGCTATAAATTAGAACAATAAATTGTAACATTTCTAATCTGAAAACTTATCTTAGCCACCTTATTTACATAAAATAACTTTTGTTCAGTCACATTTTTGTACGTATTACCATTTATGGTTTTCTATTTATTTAATATCGTCCTTGAAATTCTGGTATAATTTCCAGGGTATTCCTTTCATCATCCCCCGGAAGCGGAAAAAGAAGAGACGATTTCTGTGACCAAGATGTATTTTGGCTGACGTTTCAAAAGCGTGCTCGCTTTCATCGTCAGAACGTGGTGTCTGTACTCCTGTTCGCGTCAGATGAATGTGTCCGACCACTAGCCTTGCCTAATGCCCGTGTGTCAATCAACTGCGCCGATCGATTTCTGTGGCTGTTTGAATTGCTCGTGCCCTCACAGGCGTCTTCATGAGCTGTGTGAAGTTGTTTTTGTGTCTCATGAGCATTTCCACCCTCTTTGCTCGCGGCTGACGGCTTTGCGCCCTGCTTATCTCTCTCCGCCCGACCTATTGCTCCGTTCTGAGCCAGTGTTAGCCTTCTGCGGAGCGCTTCGTAGGCGGAATGAAGGTCCATGGCTCTGTTTAGTGTGCCAGTCGAGGACCAACTTTCTAGCAGCAATCTGGCCATCTTGGCGTTGGCTCGGCCTATTACCCTTGCTTTTTCAAAGGCGAATGTGTGGTTCTTCTGCTGTACGTTGTCATAGACCAAAGACAGCTTATCCTTGCGGTTGACTGCGAGCTGATACTCATGCAACCTTGTGCCAAGGCGTCTGCCCGTTTCACCCACAAACATTGCAGTGCATTCTTGGCATGGTATGCTACAGATCATGAGGCCCAAAGACCCGCTAACTCTGACAGAACAATCAGGGATGATGAAGTGAATATTTTATCTGGACCTCGAATTTTTTCGCACATTAATTTCCAGCGTTTTCAGTGTCTTCATGTGTTCATTCATCAATTGAGATTCCGTTCGACGTTTAATTCGGAACCTTTAAAATAAGATATACATCAAAAACATTTACCTAAAAATGGGTTTTTTGGATAAAATTTCTTATGAAGGTGACCATGTGGATCATATTTAGAAAAGCCTCAAGGCAGCAAACCATGTTTTCGAGCATAAAGAACGTCCGCAACATAGCTCTGATGTTGTTATTCATAAAAATATTTCCATAATAGGTTACCACTTTAAAGATGGCATTACTTAGATATTCCGCTGACGAATTTTTGTGCATGTTAGCTTTTTCCAAGGTAACATAAAAATGAAATTGGAGACTTTTGACAAATTTCTTACTCTTTCTGAAGATAGAGGATTGAATTTGACTCGAAATGAAAGAAATTTCTTACCTCTTTATAATGGATTATTTTCCGCCCTAGTGGATTTATTCCAGGAGCTGTTATAAACTTCCAAATGCCAAAAACAAGGGCCATATGTGGCCATTTTCTGAACTTGTTATTATTCGTCTCTCTGTTCCGTTTCTAAATAGCCCATAAACAGAACGTAAAGTATGCAAAAAAGTATATTTCTACATGAATCACATTCAATAAGGTCAGTTTTACATTACCTACATGGTTAAATATGTGGACATTTTGCTTATTTGTCATCTAGGGGAAGCGATAAAACAAAATGCGACCAAAAATTTCGTTACTGCATTTTGTGGAAGAAAACTGCACAGGTTAAATAAGCATAATTTTCAAAATATAAATCTTTCCTTCTTTCTGAACTTGGCCTCACTTTCATCTGAAATTTTTCGGACAAACGTTTCCAGTTCTGTAAGGGGTAGTTTTACGCATTTTTACTTATTTTTGTATTCTTTTGTAGAATAATACATATTAATAAAAAGTTTGGTTCTGTCATACTTATTAGCACAAAAAATTCCTTTCGATATGAGATAACTCCCAATTTCGCCAAAATTGATGCACATTTCCCTGAAGAATCTTAACTCAAATGGCGATTTTCCGTACTAAAATGCTTTCGCAGATTTAAATATACTCAGATGATCAAAATAGCGTGACCAATTATATGCTAAACTAACAAGTTAATTTTCGTCATGACTCTTGAATGCAGCACTCGCCATACTGTACGTGCAACCGAGATGAGCCCTCCTTATAGTAACGTGTAAAAAGGAAAAGTGAATCAAAATTCTACTGAAAAAATAAAATTTTACAATGAGGACTTCTGCATTTCAGATAACTTGAGTAACTCGAAAGGGTTCCGAATATCTTAAAGTACTTTTTTAATGTCCATAAAAATACATGCATGTGAAAAAGGGGGTTTAAATGTACAAACCTGCACTTCTCTCAACAAATTCAATTGAACTGAGAAAGCACCACGATGCTATAGTGTATGTAGTTGCACACCTTTCTTTAAGCCATTGGTACATTTAAAAGGATAATGCCAGGCTTTTGTCAATGTTTAATTTCTCTCAGGGATAAATGTAAATACATTTACCAGAATGGTTCGAGTACACCAGTCTCCTGAGGTATTTGATGTGCAAAATGAACCCGTATACTTATGAACAAAGTTAATTAACTTAGCTAAAGTAAACCAGTCCCAAAGAAGACCTCGTTTTCGCTTTCTGACCAGCCAACTCCTTATCCTATTTTCTCTACTATTTATGTAAATTTTGGGCGTTACTTGGGAGAAAACTGTTCTTCGACAAGCCTCAAATTAGGCGCAATCCACCTCCTTTATAGACCTGTGGTCAAGTAAAAGTATCCAACAGGTAATTTATAAACCCTATATACACGACGTTTTTTAAAAGCGTGAAGATGTGTTTGATGCTCTCGTCATGAAAGAGTCCACAGCTGGTAGTTTTTAAAACCGTAAATTTCCATTTTATCTTCCGTTTTAATGGAAACCATCCAAAGACGCGATATATAATCGTTAAGGCATTCATTACGTCGTCTGTCAAAACAAACAGATGAGATGGGTAATCTAGAAATTATTTTACATATATTTTAGAAATTACTCTGACTGGGATGTAACTTCCTTTATGTTGAGATCACTGTCGGATGTATTAATGAGGTATTGCATTTCATATAAGTGTACCAGTAAAAAATGAGCCACGCCTTATAACTTCACAGTAGGCATACGCATGCAGCATTTTCAACAAATTTAAAATAAGACAAATCAACTTCGGTATTTTTTCGTTACCACTTGCTGAGGGCAGTTTAGATAATTTAACCATTGAGTTCTATATTCCGTGGATCAGTTCGAAATTTTTGCAACCCGTGACCGAGCTGGGAACCACTTTAGTATAAGAGCAGTCCAAAAGATGACTTATGTCACGAAAACAAAAACAGAACAGCTATTAATCGAGGAAATTGTCTGAATTTAAGGTAACGTTAAGTTTCACTCAAATTTGTAAATGTATCTGTTGTTCAGATTGTTTCTAAACCTGTTCTGCGTGCAAGGGAGACATGCTACGGAATGAGCCAGTATCTTAGATTCATAAAATGGATGTTTTTACATTTCGCCATCATCCTTTTTGGATTACAACACTTACTGTAACCGATGCTTGAAATCTTCTCAGATACCTAGAGTAGATGGGCTGTCTCCTGAAATGTTAACCAAAGTTCTAAAATGCATTTGTAAGATCCATTCACATGCAGCCTAATAGCCCCTTATCCCCCTCACTCCAAGCTGTCGGTCTTCGAACGAGCTTCTTTTCGCTTGTTGTCTAAAACTGCACTCTGCTTAAAGTGATTACTTAATTAGTAGGAACATTTCCGAATGATTTAAAAAATATATATTCTACAAAAATATGCAGATAAAATATATTCTTGCATTTGTTTGATGGTAAAGTACGTATTATTTAAATTATGCGTATGAAGAAAGCGTGCTTCCAGTCTTGAAAATAGTAAAAGGCCCTTTTATAAGACATCGTATTTTTCAATTTATTAATACTGTTTATACAGTATACGACATGGTTACGATGCAACGCCACTTGTTTTGAGCCCTAAATGACGAAGTTTTTTGGATTAGGCAAACGTTTGTTTTGCCTTTCACGAAACATATACAACAGGTGATTTATAAAACCTATATACACAACGTCTTTTTAATAATCTATAGAAGTGTTTGGTGTTCCCGTCGTGAAAGAATACACACCGCGTAATTTAGAAACCCTTTATTCAATTTTAACAGCGGTTGATATTCAAAATAACTAATGAATTTATAAAACATTTTACAAACCAGAATTTCAAGATTTTTTTACTTCCTATGAGAGAATATTTCATGCTCTTTTTCTACGGAACGTATTTGAAGTTGAAAAGTCAATTTGTCAGGCAAAAAATGCTTTTCGGCAACTCTTCTTCAGTGCCTTAACTTTGCAAACAATTAAATTTTGAACATGAACAAAAATCAATAATTTCTGAATTGTGCGCCGATTGGCTATTTCGGACTTTTTCAGTTTGCGCAAATGTTCGGCCTACGCCGAGGGGTGCTGGCAACAGCAGAAGCAGTGGCTATGCGCCTAATGAATCCAGTACTGTGCTGCCAGAAAACTCTAACACAAGCCCTGTCCCTCCCGTGGCCGATACCGACGCCAGAAGACGATAGCATTTCAACCCCAGCCAAGAGTGGTGGTCGCCCAACCAACATGCCGACCAGTTGCGCAGACTGAAAAAGTCCGCAATGGCCAATTAGTGCACAACTCAGAAATTATTGATTTTTGTACATGCTAAAAATTTAATTTTTTGCAGAGTTAAGGCCCTGAAGAAGAGTTGCCGAAAAGCATGTTTTGCCTGACAAATTACCTTTTCAATTTAACAATGGGAGCGTTTGAATTTGTAATCGAATAAGAAAATTATTGAGAAACATTCTCACTATAAAGTGCATAGTACGGTGTTTATCAACGAACAGCCAGAAGCTCGTGCATAAGAGCACACCCTAACGTAACGGAAATGTCTGCGGATTATACTGCACGATAGTCACTGTTACAACCCCACACTTACCCTTTTCTGCCAATACAAGCGGACGTGCGAGTTCCAGGATGTAATTGGAAGGAAGTAGATGTGAGCGCTGGGACATGAATATTATTCTTCTGATATATCAAACTCCGTCGCGAATCCTTCATCAGAAACAATAACAGACAATAGCTATTGTCTCGGCTAGTCTCTCTAATAAAGGGTCCGCAAAGGACCTGACAGAATTTCTTCTCCATGTTTTACATTTTCAAGACGCAAAAAGGAACTCCTTTACAAAATAAGTTCACATTAAAAATCAGTTTTGGCAAACATGTTTTCGGCAAATCTTCATCAGGCCACTAACCTTGCAAAACAATTAAAGTTTAAACGTTTAGAAAATCAATAATTGTCTGAAGTGGACGCCGGTTGGCCACCGCAGACTATGTCAGTTTGCACAAGTAGGTGAGATCGGAGTGTTGGGTTAGGTTGTGTGCATTGGTCAGGGGTAAGGTGCATAGAGTGATCACTGCCATTTGTATGTAGCGAGCAACATTTAGTAGTGGGTAGGGGTGATATGCTATCGTCACCTGGTGTCGGCATCGGTGTGGCTATGGGCTCATCACTTGGCCCGTTCCTCACAAATGTCTTTATGGGCAAGATCGAGAGAGCGAGTCTAAGAGATACCACCAATAACCTTACATTTTATGGTCGATATGGGGATGATATCTTCCGTCTGACAGACTGCATTACTAACACGGACGCAATGGTCAGGAGGTTAAACAGCGTGCATCATTCGCACAAGTTTTCTGCAGAGACTGAGGTTGCTAATGAAATTGCATCCCTTGATGTCCTTCTTCAAAAGCAAAATCATGGATCGATCCTGCGTAGGGTATTCCGAAGGAAAACCTGGCCGGGACAATACAC